AGTAACATTCCAAAAAAAAAACTGAATTTACCCCCTATTCCAACATACCTTTTAATCCTAAATTCTGAAGTTCAAGTCTATGTCCATATCCATGTCCGATCCTAAAGAAAATAAGGTGATTTTTTTTTTAAAAAAAAAAAAATAAAATAAAATGACCGGATTATCTGATCAATCCAGTCATCCACTCAATCTGATGTTATCCGAGGATCACATCCGGATTATCCGCGATCCGTTCATTCATAATCTGAATGATCCATTTTTTGATCAGATCGGATGACGGATTGAACGGATTTCACCGGAGCATACCTCTAGGATATAACAAACTCACAATTTTTAAATTTTAATAATAGTTTGTTATAAAAAATGAAATAGTTCATATAAAAAGCATAATAATTTATATAATAAGCTTTTTTTTAACAGAACTGTCAGTTCGTTATAAAAGAGTATTGACTATATATACAACTTATATATTTGATACTATTATAAAATCTGATCACAATTCTTTTAAGATATAAAATAAAAGCATACTTTACAAAAGTTGATGCTTTTTATATATGTATTTTTGTGAAGCATATATTATAGGTAAATTAGCTTTTCTAAATACTGAAAGTAAAGCTTCTTTTATTCTAAAAATTAATGAACTTTAGAGATTTATTTATTTATGTATTAACTATTTAAATTTATTTGCTAATTTAAAAGCTTAGATAAATAAAGAAAATTTTTAATATTATCTAATAGAAATATTTTTATTATAAAAAATGCAGTATGATTTTTGATTATAGCATTATAAATTTTTCTTTATTTTATTAAAAAATAAATATTTGTAACATTATTTAAAATGTTCTAAATAAATTAAAATGTTAATGATAAATAGTAGTAATATAATATATTCAAATTAATTTGTTCATAATCTACTTTCATTTTGTTAAACCATTTTCAATAACCTTTTGCTTCATTTCAATTAATTTCTTGAATTTTGTTTAATAAATTTCTTTAATAATTTGGTGGTATTACTAAAATAACCTTTAAGCCAAAAAATTTTGCAATTTTATTTTTGTGAATATTTTCACAAAATGGCCAAATTTTTAATTAAATTTTGAATTTAAAATTTAATATAGACCAATTTTCACGAAATTATATACGATTTATTAATAAAATTGGTTAATTATTTCAATTTTTATTTCGATTTTTGAGTTTCTCTTCATGGGAGTGTGCTACATATTAAACAAGCCCTCATTATTTTTCTTAAAAAATTTATTTACTTAATGAAATTATAAACCTAGTAAAAAAAGTTTATATTTTGAAATACTAATTGATATTTCATCTAATAAGCTTATATATGATTTTTTGAAATTAAATTAATCGATGATTTTGTTCAAAGTATAAAAATCGATGACATTAAAAATGCTCTCAAATACGACTAAACTAACCTGTAATGATATTATATCAATCTACTAGCAAAATATGTTGACGAATTTTAACCAACGCTGTTAGTATTGCTCGCCTTTCATCCGGTTCTGCAAGATCTAGACCGGTCCTCAAACCATTTTCCCTCGGCCATCGTTGAACTACAACTGACTGTTCTTGCGGTAGGCCATCACTAAGCTCCTTCCAATATGCTCCAGGAATTACAGCCTTATAAAATGTAACGTACGTAGAGATTATACGCATAAAAAATATGGTCTGATCCATAGGGGTAGAATCAATATTCATGTATGCACAGACAAGAAGTTCGGCGGTAATTTGCGTTTCTCCAAAGTTAGTCATCGGCCCGATGTCTTTTAGTTGTTTGTCCTGTTAATAAGTTGTTTGAGTCAATAAGAACATGAGATATTCATACGTTCTAAACATACTACATACAGTTTCTATGGCCAATCTAGCAATATCTTTTTTTTCAATCACTATTTCAGGATGCACTTGTATATGATTTTCGTATTTATCGCTCTTATCGAAAAATAGACTACAAGAAGGTTTTATAAAGTGAAATCTTTAAAAACTGAAGTGCGCAATGGGAATAGACAAATAATTTGGGTGCAATAATTACTTGATATTCAGAGGCCAACAATTCAGACCAAGTTTGTGACACAGTTCGTTTACCAAAGAGTCAGTGCTAGAATATCTTGTACCTATGACCTCCTGTGAGGTTTCTGCGATATGCAACCAATCAATGAAGCTTCGGAGGTGATTGGAAACTTCAAGCTTTCCAACAATGAAATCTGGCAATCTTAACGCATGTTTGTTAATGTTGGGGAGAACAAATTCTTCATATTCTTTCGGAAAGTTGGTAACTAAGAATGTTTTAAATGTAAGTATTAGATTCACTAATAAGATTAATGACAAAGTACAGCTCGTACCTTCAACATCAGGTATCACTTGGTTTTCAGCTGCTGGTTTGAAGTTCACTTTCAACGTTTTCATATCTTCACTTGTGAACGAAGATGCAATTGTACCGGCAGACCCTTTCTTTTTAAAACACAACAAGGCTCTGATTTTTTTTAACGACATTGAAAGGTTGTTTTAACTAATGTTGGTACTTGCTGGTCAGAGAATACGTTTTGCGAGTCGATAAAACATTTTGTTCGTTGATCACTATTTGTATTACTAATTTTCGGGACATTTCGGATCATTAATTTAATTAATTTTATGGAATGTGCTAACATCATTTGATGTAGGAGGAAACATTGTTTTTAATGCTTTTACGAGTAATAATTTTTTGATTTAACTAAATTTTTAAATAAATCATCTATGAAAATAATGACCTTACAGGAATTTTAAATAATTTTTTTATTACTAAAATAAGAAGGTAATTATATTTATTTTATTTATTATTTGTTTTTATCGTCATATCGTATTAAGTTTGGAGCAGATTTACCTAGTAAAAAAATAAATAAACAAAATATAAATTAATTGAACATAAAAATAAAAAGAAAAAAAAAATAAAACAATAATAATTAAAATAAATTCCCAAATAATCACTGTAACCTGAAGCAATAGTATGAAAAAATGAAAAATGAAAATGAAACAATAAAAAAACAAATAAAACAAAAAAGAAACATTAATAAAAATGGTATCACTATCGAATTCTTTATTACAACCTAATCTTAAATGATAAATTAGAAAAAAAAAAAATAAACAATAAAAAAAAAAAATAAATCGTATCTTAACAAAAAATTCAAATAAGATAGTAAAATAAAATGGATTACCTAATCCGAGATTAAATTCAAAATTGTTTAACTTAATAATATGTAAACATTATCTTTGTCCATGCCTTCATTAGTGTGTCCTCATCATAATCATTTTCATTATAATTAATCTTACGCTCTAATATAAAACATTAAAGCAAGTACTTTAATTATATCGACTTACACTAATCCTTGCCTTTATATAAATTGTCTGAAATAATTGACAATTTTTTCGCTTGACATCTAAAATATAAATAAATATATAAATCTGAAAGATAAGAATACTTATCTTAAGAAATTATCTTAGCTCAAAGTTGTGATTAATGCCTTTTTTGTTTTTTATCCCAATATCCCAATCTTTTTGAATGATTTCTTTCTAATTGAAGAAAAAAAAAATTAAAAGCATCATTGCAGATTTGTTAAATATCTGGAATAGTCCGTTAAACTTCAAAAAAATTTGATTTGATGTCGATAATTTTAAATTAGGTACATCAACCTTTATTGTTTTGAGCACATCATTGTTTGAATTACATCTTAGAACGTGATCATAATAAGCATATATAAATTTCGATCACGTTCACGTGGGTTGAATGAAACTGGAAAAAGTCAACGAGTAGGACCCTATATTGCCTTCCTTGGCCGTTTATCTATATTGATTTGTACATTAGCTGATCAAAATGAGAGAACAATTCAGTTCTTTTTATGATCCAATAATTCTTTGGAAGATGAGGTAGAGTTTATAAACTTAGCGCCGAATATATAGGTAACCCGTCGGATGATATTAGATATGCTAATGGTCACGGTCATGATCGGCCATAAGCGGTCATTAACTGTGACCGATATCGGTCGGTCAAAGGCTTCTGACCGACCGGTTGACCGACTTACTTGAGACCGAACAACCATGTTTAAATTGTAAAAACACTTGTATTAAATTAACAAATCAAAATTTTATTATAATTATCAATTTTGAAATTTTGAAAAAAAAAAGTCCGGCGTTGATGCTGCGCCATTAAATAAAAATGACAAAATATAATATTTGACTAAATAAAAGCCAAACCTGCAGAACAATTAAAATTTTCTTTTAGAATTAACTAGTTAACTGGAATGTTTGTATATTTTACATAATAAAGGAAATTAGTAAAATCGTAAATTGTTCTTATCGATTTCTCAATTTCAATAAAGCAAATGATTATGCTGCTTAACTATTGTTTAATTTTGTTTCTTTTCAAAAAGGGCATGTTTATTTCCAAAATATTGTGTTGAATAATATCCATCCACTTGCTTAGGCAATAGATGAGCCAGTGTCTTCCATAATACAATGCATTCGTCATACGAGAATTCCTTTTATTGTATTTAAAGAGCTTTGCTGCAGCATTTTAAACTTATCGATGGATCAAATATTAAAAATAATAAAGACGGAAAATAATTCTTATAAAATTTACTAACAATACTCTTTTTTTATATTTATTTAAAAAAAATCCTAAATGTCCAGTATAATTTTATAAAATGTTGTTTATAAATAAAATAAACTAAATATATAAAATTATAGTAAAATAAATAAAAAAAAATCTTTTATTAATAATATTTAGTGGAGCTTTGGAGATATGAATACCCCAGAAAAAATTTTTCACGCTTTTATTTATTAGATAGATCTTTTTTTAAAGAAATATAGAAATAAAATTTAAATAGTTTTTAATTATGCTTCAAAACTAATAATAAAATTAAAAAAGTTTTTAAGATACTTAAATAAAGTTGGAATCATTTTCTAGTTAAATTCATTGCTTAATTGAAATATATTATTATAATGTTATTAACATATTTTATCAGAGTAAATGTTATTTCAAATTAAATAAAAAATTATAAAATTTACCATTAATAATGTTAAATGTGTTAGTGATTTAAATTTTAATATTTCCTAGCAATCCAATAATAATTTTTCTTAAAGATGTAAATATAAATAAGCAAAAGTACTAGAAATTTCTCAATTTGTTTATTTTGATTCAGAGGCTTTAACATCATTAAAAAAATTTTTTTTTTTAAATTTAATTTTTAATTCGTGGTTTCAGGAAAGGAGGTTAATTATTAATTCAGGTTCTGCTTGTTCAAAACTAATAGAATATTCAAGACATTATTTCTCATTTTCAATAATTTGAAATACTTCATAATCTGTAATTGAAAATGCTTCGTCGGTATCTCTTATCCCTTTTTCATATCCATCATGGTTGCAATAATTAAAATCATAATCTCTTTCTTCCCCCCTTGGAAGAGTTTCTATACAAAGATCATTGCAAAATGAAGGACCACAACAATCGTAGTAATATAGTGCACGATCTATATCAGTCACACGACTTAAAATTGAATCTTTGAGATTATCTTTATTCTTGAAAGAAAATATGAAACTATACTTGGATCGTCCCCACACACCATCACTATTTTTATTCCATATTAGAGGATTATAGCCTCCAAGAATTTCTTCGGTTCCTTTCAACTTAATGAGCGTAACTGTATGAGATATATTATCACATAATTCTTGAAACTTTTTAGGAGTAAAACCATCTCGGCTTCCTCTTAATAATAGTTTAAATTCATATGGAAAATACAATTCTCTGACATAAGAAAATTTGCCTTTAATTTCTACTTTATCTATCCATTTTGAAATGATGGAAACAATATTTAAATTGACAATTTTTGTATCAATAATTCCATCAATATTTCTATTTCTAGGTAGTAATATACTATCATTTGGTTCACTATCAAAATCCAAATAAGAATTTAATAAATCTTGATAGAGTTGATGTTTCAAAAGGTTTTTATATGGATGAACTTTTTTGATAAATTCATCAGAAGATAAACTAAAGAATCTAATTGACGGTAAACATTGTTGTAAAGTATTTTCCATTATTTTGAAATCATCATCTGACCAAGTTGAAGGATCTGAAATTAATGCAGGATTTCTTTCAACTCCCCATTTCAATACATGTTCCCAAACTTCAACTTCTTTCATTTGTAAATCATCCCTCTTAATAAGCGAAACTAGAGATTTTTCAGAAATCGAAGCAAAATCAAGCGACTTGAATATCTTTTCTGGTGATCTAGCCATTAAATCTGTACAAAATTGTTGAATTTCTGATAAAGAATTGTGTTGAGTGCTTGTTCTATGAGTAAGTTCAAAATTCTGTTCCATCCATTTAGATTTATTTTCAATTAAATAATTTTGTAAATAATCAACTAGTTCTTGAAGATGAAGCTCATAAGATGCTATCAAAACGAACTTAGTTTTCTAGTAATTGATTATGTAGGAAGAATAGAAAAGTTAGATAATTTACTGAAACAGGCGGAAAAAACTCAGCCCTCCACTTTAAAAATAACCGAGGCGTCATGATCATTTAATGTAATGATTCCGCCATATATACACTCCCCTGAAGAAAGTATCCGGGCACGGCTTTTTGCGAATTGTAGCTTAATTATATTATGTTTTTAAAT